TGCCTCCTGTGGGGATGTGGACCCCGCTACAGTCCCCAGCCGACCCAAGCAATGGAGCACTATATCTGGGAGACCAGCTCACGTCTCGGTCCATTGCAGTGGGTTAAACTCAACACAACAGTCCCAGAGCAGCCTACATAAGGGCTCTCAGTCTGGGCAGCAACTCCACAGACGCTACACAACCTTAGGCTCTACGTCCTCCAGAGGGAGCGTAGATGTGGAGACAACTTCTCATGTTGATGAGCTTGCCGTTCAGGCTGAATTCATCAACGTCTGCAGGCAGATAGATGCACTTAGTATCAGTAGTGATACGATTGACCTATAGGGGGGGGGGAATCTTTATTCATCTACAGATTATTTTGTAGAGCATGGGGTTCTCAACTCTGGCCCGCCCTCGAGATCCACTTTCCTGTAGAGTTTAGCTCCAACCCAAATCAAACACACCTGAACAAGCAAATAAAAGTCTTCAGGATTACTAGAAAGTTGCTGGCATTAGAGTTTGATAAAGGTTGGAGGTAAACTCTGCAGGGAAGTCGTTGAGAACCACTGAAGTAGAGCATGTGCCGTACTTTCCTGCAAAATTAACCTTAATATTTTCCAGTTTAACGTTTAACCCAGGGGAATCAAGGTGTGCTCATTTGAAGGTCCACCTTCCAGCACAGTTTACCTCTGACATACCTGTTTGGAAGTTTCTAGTGATTCTGAAGACCTTGATTAGCTAGTTCAGGTGTGTTTAATTAGGGCTAGACCTAAACTCTGCTGAAAGGTGACCCTTCAGAAGCAGGATTGGATACCCCTGGTTTAACCTAACACAGGGCTGGGCAACTTCGGTCCTGGATGGCCACTGTCCTGCAGTTTAACTCCAACCCTAATCAAACCCTTCAAGATAACTAGAAAGCTACAGGTAGGTGTCTTTGATTAGGGTTGAAGCTGAACTCTGCAGGACAGTGGCCCCTCCAGGACCAAAGTTGCTCAGCCCTGACCTATAACGCCTTTAAGTAATTTCAACCCTAACAACTCCAATTTACAGAACTTTTCTTGACATACATGCAGAGAGGAATTTGCTGTTGATGCATTCTGCTTGAATGGAAAGAAATGTTTAATTTTAGAAGCAGACATGACATGGACAAAACGGCAACCTACAACCTCTGAGTGGCTGATGTTCTCTATCAACGATGAGAAATCCTCTGAAATCCAGTTCTCATATTTGACCAATCATGTTGAAATGCTTGGTTTGATCAAAAAACTTTAAAAAATAAACTATTGTACAGGAGACTTTTGTATTGCTTTCAGCAATAAAGCTAGCACTTATGAACATGCTTTATGATGATATGTCTTTTGGTTTTGCTCTTACAGCACAGATCACCTAAACACTCATTTGGCAACATTACAGATGTACAGTACAGAGACACATTCTCTAGAACCATTTTGCATTTTATTGCAGCACTATCATTGATGTTAACACACTTATTTGTGGCAGAAATGTCACTTGGGTAACATTTTATTCTGGAGTGAGACCTGGGTGTTCTGTTGGAGCATATACTTATGGGAAAAGTCATTTAGCAAAAGGCTGCATGAAGATAACCATAAAAACCATGCTAATTAGCTGTTGCATGTTTGGAACACTTGGCATTTTAGTACTACTGTTTTTCTAAACTGTTATTTCATTACATTTAGTGCTTAATAAAGATCTATTCTATGCTGTACCCATAATCCCTCACAGCCATTTCGCTGCACAAATGCTGCCCTCTGTTGGCCATAGAGATGTAATAACATGAAGTTTTGACAGCTTGTGCATTTGTCATCTTTATTAGTG